ATAATGGACAAAATAAAAGTAAAAAGAGAAGAATGAGAGAGGTATCAGTTGATGGGTTATAGTCCCTATGCTTTAAACATCTTGAAAATTTCATGGTATCAGTGGTGAAGTGGTGGAGTACTGGTTCTCATGTCAAGAAGACTTGGGGTCCATCAGAGATACTCCTTGGCGAATAGACAAGAGAGGGCAGGAAGAGATAAGAGTTACCTGTTACTTTTGGTACTTGAGACCATGGCCTTAAAACCACAGTAAACTAGACATCAGACTATTAGCTACAGTATGTATCTCCATGAGGAAATGTTTCTTGAAAAGTGGGATTGCCAAAAGAAAGTCTTGTTGTTTGTAGAGGGAAATGGTTTTACACTCGGCAAAAAAGAAGCTGGCCACTTCTAATGGCCCAGATTTTAATCTCATGCCTCTAATGCACGAATCTGTTTTAGTTCTTCCTAAAATAATAGCCTTGATGCTTTGGGGGTGAGTATTGTTTATGAGAGTCTGAATTTCAAAGTCATGTAGGTAGACTGGTTCAAATCTAAGTTTTATCTCTTAATACGTCTATGGTGTTAAGAGAGCATTTAACTGCTTGGAGCCTTAGTCTCCCCATCTTTAAACGAATAATTACTAGCACTTTCCTCGTGGAGCTGTTAATGGGAATAACATGAGATGATGTGTGTGAAAAATTTAACAAATCTGTAGCATTAAGTACCTAATATTACTTCCTGCTGATTTGACACTATTATTGCTTTTGATACTATTGATATCATTCTTACTGGAGTTCTCAGTGAGTGGCTCTTATTGACAGTGGGTGATCACTAGGTAATACTGAGAGCTAAGCTAGCTACGTTCTGTGAGTCTTAATGCCTAAGAATTGCCCATTCGGAATTTGGGATTAGGGTTAAGCAAACTATCCTTACGTTCAGGGCTTGCTTGGCAAGCTGCACACCACACCACCTGTTTTTGTGAGTGAAGTTGTGTTGGAAGACAACCACGTCCATTCCTTTGGCCATTGTTGATGGCTGCTTTTGTGTTACAACTGCGGAGTTGAGTAGTTGCCACATAGACCTTTGACCAAAAAGCCTCGAATATTATTATTTGGCCCTTTACAGAAGTTTGCCAACTCCTGTTCACACTGATACAACTTGAGTTTTTGAGCAGATACTAGCCTGACTCATAAACAAAGCTGTTCAGAGATTTGGAACATCTCTCTCTGTCTCTCTCTGGTCTTGCATTTCCCTTGAGCTGAAATGTCCCCGGCAAGTGTTCTAGGTCGCATTCATAGTGATTCTGGTGGTCCTCCTTTTGCAAAGCACTTGAGAGGAACAAAGACCAGGGAGTGAGGTGCTTTAGCAGACGGCTCCTGGGGAGGAGCGAGTGTCGGCGGTCCTGGGGCCCCCCTGGCTCTGGTGCCCTGCTCATTAGGTTGCCTTCGTGTACACGATGGGGTTTGGTGAATGATGCTGAACT